GCGGGGCGGGGGTGGCCGGGTGTGGGAGGGATCGGGGCGCGCCTGGTTCGTCCCCTTTAGTTCTGCCCTTTCAAGGACACGAAAAAGCAAACAGGGCAGGTGAGGGCAAGTTGGAGGAGTCCTGGTGGAAAAAGCAGTGCGAACGCAGAGGGAGTTTCAGACAGGGACAGACTGGCGTGGCAGACCCGCCTGGCACAGGAAGGGAGCCGGGCACGGGGGAGGGGAGCCGGGCACGGGGAGGGGAGCTGGGCACGGGGACCCGCCGGTCAGAGGAGACAGAGGAGAGCCGGGCACAGGGACCCGCCGGGCACAGGAGGGGAGCCGGGCATGGGGAGGGGAGCTGGGCACGGGGACCTGCCGGGCAGAGGAGACAGAGGAGAGCCGGGCACAGGGACCCGACGGGCACAGGGGAGGGGAGCCGGCGCTGCGCTGACAGCCAGGCCTGCGGCCCGGAGTTGTCACCGCTGCTGTGGCCCTCTCCTCGACCACGTGCTCCCCTAGTCCCCTGCACTGAGGCTCACCTTTGGTGGCCGGTCTACATGGCCGTCTCCTGTCCTGCAAGCTGCCTCGCGAGAGTGAAACGAAACGTGGTGCTGATGCGTCCATTGGCCCCGAGGACTGCATAGCCTCCAGTCTGGCAAGCGGCTCACTCCGTCCCTGCCCAGCTCGACCTCTGAGCGCGTCCTTCAGCTTATTTTAGCCCTAGGTCTACTCTTGTGAAAAATTCAGGGTTGGACCATGTGATGAGTGACATTTCTCCCAGCTTTAGTATTTTATACTATTAAAGATGAGCAATGAGCAAAAAACGGTGATTCCCATGTCAGAAAACACTTGAAAAAATACTGGACCGGTTTAACTAAAGAAATGAATATTAAAACAATGAGATACTTATTTTCTAACCTCTCAGATTACGCGGATTTAATAAAAAATGGGACTGCCTTCCACTGGTTGGGAGGAACACAAGAGCCCTGGATGGTGTGGCGGGAGCAGGGCTTCTCCAGGCTTCTCCAGGCTTCTCCGGGCTTCTCCAGGCGCAGTTTGTGGGTAAGCACCAAACGTCTGAGAATGAGCATCGTTCCTGGTCTAGCAATTCCACTAGAATGTCGTAGAAGGAAATAACCAGACTCATGTACAAGGATTTTTATCACAGCACATTTATACTGTCAAAAACCAAAGGCTGATCTTCCTCTGCCCGGGACATATTACGTGACACGTGGCAGGTTTGGGGAAACTCAGAAGGTGCAAGATCAGCGTGGCCCATAGACACACTCAACACGCCAGGTTTCTCCCTGCAGTCCCCCACCTCACCCGCACGTGCAGAGCCACCGGTGATCCTGCCGCTGGACCAAGGAGGTCACCTACAACTCACCGTTGGCTGCAGCACCAAGGGCACATCCTGTGGTTTGGCTGCCAAGGCCTGGCACAACTGAGCCTACCCCCAGCCACCAGATGAGCCCACTTCTCCCCCACTGGCACTGCCCGCCTGTCCCCTCACTGCCCCGTGCTCATGCTGAGCTCTGGTCATTGGAGAGCCGGCTTCCTCCCACCTCTTCCTTATCCTACCCGAATCCTTCCTGCCTTCAGTGGTGGCTTCCAGGAGGAGTTCCCTGCCATTACCTGAGCCCACCGCACACACAGCCTAGCCTGTTAGTGCATGGCAATTTTTTTGTTCAGTTTATTTCAAGTATGTCTATGTTTTCATTTACAAGATCACTGAAACTGGTGTTAGGTGCTGTGTTTGAAAGGCTGCATGACATCGGAGAAAGATTAGAGTGTGAAATCAGACAAACCTGGATTTCAGGTCCCGTGTGATGCTGGATACGTTCCCTAACCGCACCGAGCTTGAGTTTTATCATTCATACAATGGGGACAACAGTCGTTATTTCACAGGGGTGTGCCGTGGTTAATGGGGTAATTGTTAGCTACTTAGCACAACGCCTGCCTTATAGCACATACCAGTAAATGTGAGTCCACTCCTCCGCACTCTACGTTGGAGGAGTTGGGTTTGACCCCTTCTGGCTTTAGATAAAATCCTGTGGCCTGGCCAGGTCCCCCAAGGGCGCTAGGACAGCGAGTGTCCCGCAGAGGAGGAGGGCAGCAGCGGGTGAGCCAGGAAGCCCCCGCCGGGGTCCGGCCTGCTGGCCTCTTACCTGATGATTGTCAGGGGGATGAAGTACACCAGGAAAGCCACGATCGTCATGTACGGGGTCCAGTAGGAGTCGTCAGGCCACAGGGCCCAGCACTGCACTTCGCCGTTGGAGAGCGTCCTTTTCCCAAAGATGACCAGGGTGGGAATGGAGAACAGGAAAGAGAGGCTCCAGGCTACCGCGATCAGGACCTTGGCTTGCTTTTCTGCTCCAAGAAAAGAGAGGGCCGCCTGGGTATGTGGAAACATCCTCTGGAAGCACACTTGAAGTCTAGGCGGGAGAGCCACCCTGGACCTCCCAGAGCCTCCCAGAGCCTCAGTTTCCCTATGTGTAAATGGGGATGACAGTGCCTGCACAGAGGGCTGACGGAGAGGTTAAAAAGAGAAGCTTGTGCAGAAGCCAGCACACTGCCTGGCATCAGGCTGTTGCTCCCCAACCTCTACTTCCCTTCTCCTCCCTGATTTACCCACCAGCCTGGAAGTGCTGATGTGTTCATTCCTGTACTGTTAGGGGGCTGGGCTTGTACCCTGTGCATTTGATGTGCACAACTGAGCTGCATCCACTAGCCTGAGGCCAGTCTCTGGTTACAGGGCAGGGATGTGGCCTTTGGTCCACCTGGCATCCTTCCACTGTGCTTAGCACTGCAGGGCACTGGCGCAGTCTTTGAGAGCTATTTGCCAAAGAGCCTTCTTTTCTTTGAAGGAATGTGTGTGTGTGGGGGGAATTGTGGGGCCGAGACAGAACACTGAACTAGGTGCTTGAGAATAGGGTTTATTCAAACCAGGTCCTGAAGCCTCGTAACTTTGACTTTGCACAGTAGATTTGGGCTCTCTCTGATGCAATGTGCTGACCTTGGGCAAACCGTTCAGTCTCCACCTCAGTTCTTCCCCTTTAAGATAGGATTGAAACAGTCCCCTCTGGCTATCTAAACAGGTCACGATGAGGCCCAAGAGAGACAGCTAAGGTACATGAGAGTGCTTTTAAAAAACATCCGTTGTTGCGATGTGATGCTTTCTGCTAAGCTGGTGGAAGCTCCTCTTCTGAGTCCTCCCCTAGCCATGCTGTTGTGGTGCTTGGTCCTGGGACCCTCCTCTTCCCAGAGACAGGAGACCACCGCCCACTCTCCAACTTTCAAATTGGAAAGCAGGTGCGTGTCTTTGGCTGGGGGGTGGGATGGAGAGTCACCAGGTGTCATCATAGAGAGGTGTAGGCTGCAGTCAAGAAGCTGTAAGTGAGGAAAATGCTAGAAGAAATGACGGACTTAGTGGGCAGGGGGACGGGGAGAGGGTGGTTGGTGGATACGGAATAGTAGAGAGATGGGAAGCCTGGGATCTAGTGTTCTACAGCAATACAGGGAGACCACAGTTAACAACGGAGTGCTGTGGATCTTTGAATAGCTAGTCGAGAGATGTGAATGTTCCTAACACAAGGAAATGACCAATGCTGGAGGTGATGGATGCACTGAAGACCTTGACGTGCTCATTGCACACAGCACGAATGCACTCAGCTATCACGTTGTACTACATAAATACATAGACTCATCGTGGGGCAATTAAGAACAAAATAAATTTAAAAGAGAGAAACAAGAGAGTAGAATAGTGGTTGCCAGAGGCAGGGAAAGGGTGGCGGGGAAGGGCGCGGGGTTATGGGGAAAGGCTGGCAGAGCCGCACAGAGTTCCACAATCACAGGCAGATAGGAAGAACGCGTTCTGGTGCTCTAGGGTGACAACAGCTAGTGATATTGTGCTGCGAAATAAGCCAGACACAGAAAGAGAAATGCCACATGGCCTCACTCATATGTGGGCCCTAAGAAAGAAGGAAAAAAGGAAAGAAAAAGAAAAGACCACAATAGTACAGGAACTTTCAGAAGGAGAGGAGAAATCTATGGCTACCAGAGGTTGGGGGGTAGGGGGATGGGGTTGGGGAGAGATTGTGTAAAGGGCACAAGGAATAATTACAATCTGTGGTAATGAATACACGCATAATATTGATTTGATCCTCACATGTTGTACACAGGTGATGGTAGTCAATGCTGTACCCCAAATATATATAATCAATTATGCTTCAATAAAAAAGAGAAAAATTGTTAGCAAGCAGAAAAAAAAATATTGTATTGTTTATTTCAAGATAGCCGGAAAAGAGGATCTTGAATGTTATAAACACAAAGAAAATGATTAATATTTATGTGATAGATATGCTAACTATCCTGATTAGATCATTACACAATATATTCAAGTATTAAAACAACAAACTATACACCATAAACATGGGCAATAAAAAAATAAATTAAAAATCCCACAAAAACAACTTAAAAGAAAAACAACTTAGAGGGCAGGAAAAAAAAGAAAGAAACTAGGGACTCTTAGAATCTTGAATCTCAAATATTTGGGAGAATAATTTCTGGGGTTCTGTTCTTGCTGAGTTGTACACACTACAGAGGGTTTAGATGCATTTAGAAAAGAGATGTTACCGGTCCGCTGCACCAGCTGGAGTCTTGGGGGAGAATTCTAACAGCAATTTGATTAGGTCTTTCCCTCATGCCTTCACGTGGATCCAGCCATCCAGTGGGGCTGGTGGCTCCCCAGTTTTGGGCTGAAAATTCAGGCAAGCCCCTTGATGCCAGTGTAATTCATAGGTGGTTAAAAGGTCCTACAGTCACTTTAAATGGTAAACATCACATCAATTTGGTAATTAACTTAAAAAGTAGGAGTTAAAGTGGCAGCTAACAATAAAGTTCCCCAGATGATGTCAAGGTGGGCCTGCTTCAGATAAGAACCTGGAGTCTGGGAAGGGGCCAGTCCTCTGCTCTCTGTTCCTGTCTGATGTCCCTCCTCCTCCCCAGGCTGCTAACCACTCTGCAGCCCCTCTGGAGCTGAGGTTCAGGGACCAAGGAGGACAGGGGGACGGGAGAGTTCTTACTTGACTGGCACTGCCATAGATGGCTTTGTGCTCCCTGAGCCTGGCTGCCATCTAGAGCTGGCTCTCGGTCTCCTGAGGGGCTTTCCTGGGTCCTTGGAAACTGTCCCCGGGGGACTCTCTGGCTGCCACTTGCTGGACTTGGGCAGTGTCCCTCCATTCCTCCCTGCTAACCTCCAGCCTCTCTCTCTTGAGGCCTCTCACTTGGGCAGAAATGTCTGGGGCAGAATTTTTTTTAACACAGCCCCAGGCAAACTTCTTGACATGGGTCCTACATCAGCTCCCTGGACTAGTGCCACAGGACACCAGCCAGCCTCTCACCCTTTAGCTTGCTCAGGTCTGAATTAGTCATTGGTCCATGGTGTCCCTAAATACAGAAAACACATATCCAAGCTTCGTGAATCATCTTGCTAACCCCTCTCACTAGAGTTAAGGGGAGAGAGAATCTGAAAGATCATGGTTTTGGATGCTTGGTCCATGGAGACATGGAAGTCAACAGGGTGGGGACAGTGTGAAGGGTGAGAGAGGCTGAGGATGTTGTCAGCATCTTCACTGGATGAGGCTGTGGCAGACACAGGAGGCATCGCGGAAGGCAGTCTAGTCTGACAGCAGAGGATCAGAGGAGCAGACCGGGCAGGCACGCGCAATGACAGAGGAGAGATGCTCTGAAGGGGTCCAGGGAGGCAGGAAAATGTCTTCACAACCGCCAGACCATGAGGTACCTAAGGAGGAAGGCTGAGAGGCATCCTCTTGAGAGATCTTAGGGGAATGAGGTGCCTCAGGAGGCAGGAGGTGAAGGGAACCTGCTGGGAAGAGGTTGATGATGTAGTGAGCTGGTTCCTGAAGGAACAGAGGAAAACTTGGGGTTGAGGGAAGCATAGAGAGTTTGGATCAGGACAGACGCAGGATGGGATTAGGAAAACAGGTGATGTGACTAGGGGGCAGGTTTCCTTCTGATGACAGGGCTGTGAAGCCTGGTGGGTCTCTGTGCACCTTGGCAACACCAGCAATTGCTCCGGTGCCGTCTTCTTCTTTCACTGGTTGGAATTCAAACATTATCTCCTTCTGTGGGTCCTAGGGCCTGGAATTTTAGGGGCAATTTGTGATTTCTGGGCCCCACCCGGATTCCACTTGATGAGTTAACAGTGCACTCACTTTTGAGAGGGATGGACGTGGAACCAATCAGATTAAAAGAATACAAAATCATGCTTTGGAATGAACTCTACCACACTGCCCAAAAATGTTTGCCCAGAGTCCCAGCAGGGCACAATTTTGGAGATGTTTTTCTCACACCTGTGCTAGGGTATAATGGGAAATCCCCACTGTCTCAGGTTTTTATGTGGCCTTCCAGCCAGCTGAGCCCAGGGGTCCGGGACCGAGCAGAAGAAATGCAGGTTCGTGGGTTTGGTGGGCTTTCTCCTGTGTCCCACCCACAGAAAGTCAGACCCCCCTTCCATTTGCTCATGTCCAATTCTGTGCTTATCTGCCTTAGCCTTCCTCCTTTGTAGGCAACACACACTTTCTAAAAAATTACATAAGTTACACATGGTGATTACAGAAATACTAGCAAATAAAAATAAGAAAAAAGAAGAAAAAAAATCTATAGTGGCACCACCCAGAAACAGCCAGTTTAAATTTTGATAATGCATTCATAGATTACACATTTATAAATGAGATCATACTATATTTTCTGCCTTTGTAACTTAATTTTTTTGTCTGAAAAAAATATTATGACCGTATTTTTATGTTAAGAAATCTGCATCAATACAAGCGGCATGCAGATTTTGTCAGGCAGTAAGATCCTTTCTTCAAATATAATTTTATCTTTTTTTTTTTTTGGTTCCTGCATTTTATATTTTTATTTATTTTTTTAATTTTTATTTTGTCAATATACAATGTAGTTAGTTATTGTGTCCCATCACCAAAACCTCCCTCCCTCCTCCCTCTCCCCCCTCCCACCCAGATGTGTCCCCTCCATTTTCTCGTTGTAAGAACTTCACAAAAAAAAAAGTTGAGGTTGTTAAATCTTCCTCTCCCCCCCCCGTTTTTTTTTCTTTCTTTGCAAAGTACTAATTAGCTTCTGGGCCTTGTTTTCCTACTTAGCGAGTGAGATAAGAAAGTCAGGGGAAAATTAATTTGTTTATTTTTTTAGCTCCCACCAATAAGTGAGAACATGTGGTATTTCTTTTTCTCTGCCTGACTCGTTTCACTTAATATTATTCTTTCAAGGTCCATCCATGTTGTTGCAAATGGGAGTATTTCATTCGTTTTTATAGCTGAGTAGTATTC